TTTTATATTGTTAGTCTGTATGTTTTATTGTTATGCAATCTCTTTTTTCAGGGTTTGACATAATGAATAATAGGAAAACGCAAGTGACCAGAGCTCCTGAAATAAATGGGGGTCCTTCATTTCCAAGACATGTTTCTGAAAGTCCCAAGCAAGAAACCATTTTCTATCACAGTACATCAAAAAGTGAAATTAGTCTAAATACCTTAACAACTAAAGAAATGGTCACCAATAGCAGACAGAATGTTTATCAACTTATCAAAAGCACTTCAGGCGTTCTTGATGACAAAAGTTCAGAACAAGTATCAGCAGATGAGAACAAACAACAAAACCATTCAGCCACGATTGCTGTGCCACTTGCAAGAGAAGTATTTTTAGGAAACGTTAATGCATTTATACCGGTAACAACAATACTTTACCTGTGTCCGTCTGGTTTGCAAACAACAACAATATCAAGGCAGACAGAAACACCTAACCCTGTTATCTCACAGCAACCAGCTCTCATCACTAATGCAATAATCCCAAATTCAAATAAACAATTATCAGATGCATTACTAAACAATAAACTTGTTACAACCAGTACAAAAGAATCATTATCTACAAGGAGTGTTCCAATTGTCACATGTGTTACATCATCCTCAAAGGCAGGCATGTTAAGAGCTACAGGAGAGAATGTGATAATTTCTTCTTCAAGTGTGACAAAATCAGTTCATGGCACAACTGACTTTAAACGTAATTTTTTGGAAAGTGACAACAGACACAGTTCACAAAAAATGTCTATTTCAAAGAATATGCCCCAGTTTAGTAACAGTAACAGCACAAATGAAACTCCTCTTCTTCTAACAACGAAGTCTTCTATGACAACGAACAACATAGACAGTGTAATAATGCAAACAAATAACCTGTCAGAAAGTATTTCTGAAGACCTTTCAATAAATGCTAAGTCTCCAACACCTGGGTCAACCAGCACTAGCCCTCCTTTGGACAATCATATCCAGGCATTGGATATACATGCAGGAGTCTTCGCAGAAGATCAGGAAGAACATACTGAAACAGCAAGGATAGTTCAAGCACAGAGTAGCCCAGTTGGAAATCTTCAGGGTTCTAGTGACTTGGCAAGTACAGTAGGGCTGAGCATTACAAAACAGAAACACCCTGAGCACCATTTTGGAAGCCACAGATTCAGTAACAGCGCATATGTCTCTGTTGATCCAAAAATGACTACAACCCAATCTATTTCATCAGCAAAACCACAAACTGTCTTGACAACAATGCCAGCAAGCACATCCCAAGTTATAGCTCCCCATGTAGCTAAGGCTAGCATTAATGTAGTTCTTTGGGTTCTCAATAAGCCTTCAAAAAGGAGAGCACATTGTGCATATCCTCCAGTGCCTATACATGGAACATTCAGATTCCTAACTGTTAGAGACCCATTTCCACACCAGTACCATTATTACATTCAGTACTCATGTTATCCTGGTTATACAATGTCACATGGTGATGAATACAGCTTCTGCATGGACCATGGCACATGGAGTGGAGTCACACCAGTGTGCACAGGTTGGTGCATCATCTTTCTGTATTGCATGTTTTATAAGTCATCCCTCGTGTAGTTGACTACTGAATAATAATCATCCTAACAATTCATACATTGCAGAGGGTCCATATCCATCTGGAGGTGGAAACCTTCCTTGTTCTAATATAAATAGCCATTTGGGCAATAATCTAATAATCTCATATTTTTGTAAAATATATTTTATAAAACCTTAACATATTCTCAGCACTGTAGGTATCGTTAAATATCTGTTATGATGACTGAAACCATTGTTATATCTCAAGGATTACAACTTCATTAGAACATAAGAGCGGACAAAAAAAGTTTAAAAAAAAGAAAGGAAATCTCAGTGCTGACAAATAAATGCTGCATTAATTATGAGCGTCTTAATTATTGTAAAGTGCTTTTAATGGACAATTTAGGCAAACTGATTAAATTGTGATGTAGTAGAAGCAGTACTAGGGATAATAATGAAAACACTTGCACCTGTGGGCAAAAAGTTGTGGGAATTCAATATCAGAGTAAAAAGATCCTTTAATCTGTTCTTTTAACATCAAGATAAGGGAATAGGTCAAATATAAGGGAGACATAAAGGTTGACACCAGCTATTTGGTGCATTTTCCCATTTAGTAGTGACTTAATCATAGGCAAGAAAATACAACATATTGTAAAAAATAAATACATTTTATGGATTATTTTTTATACAACATTACTCAGTTGTTAAATAATAATGATATTAACTACAGATGTGCACATACAAATTTGTAACGTCTTTTTGTTGGAACAGAATTTGAACCATGTTCATTGAATAATGGTGGCTGCTCCCAGATATGCCAGTCCAATGGTGAAGGACATGCAGAATGTTCCTGCAAAGAAGGTTTTGAGTTGCTGAATGATACTAGGACGTGCAGAGGTAATTATGCATGACAAGCCTTGCCCAATAAAACATAACACAAGAGTTCAAACTAAAAGAAATTGGTCTAGATGAATATTCTTGTTGTTGGGTAGAACATTGGCTTAAGGATAGAGTACAACGAGCTGTCATTAATGGTAAATTTTCAGGCTGGACAAAAGTGGTAAGTGGTGTCCCTCAGGGTTCTGTTTTGGGGCTGCTTTTATTTAACATATTTATAAATGATCTTGAAATAGGCATTGAAAGCCATGTATCAGTGTTTGCAGATGACACAAAACTTTGTAAAGTAATAAAATGTGAGCAGGATATTGCTTTGCTGCAGAGGGATTTGGATAGATTGGGGGACTGGGCACTAAAATGGCAGATGAAATTTAACGTAGAGAAATGCAAAGTTATGCACTTCGGGGGTTAAAAATGAACAAGCAATTTACACCCTAAATGGTAGTGAATTAGGGATAACCACACACGAGGAGGATTTGGGAATTGTTATAGACAACAAATTAAACAGCAATATGCAATGTCAGTCTGCAGTTGCTAATGCCAGTAAGGTTTTGTCATGTATAAATAGGGGCATAAATTCTCGGGATGAAAATATAATTTTGCCTCTTTATAAATCACTGGTAAGACCACACCTTGAATATGCTATGCACTTTTGGGCACCTGTTCTAAAGAAAGATATCATTGCACTAGAAAAAGTGCAGCGACGAGCTACAAAATTGATAAAAGGAATGGAGCATTTTAGTTACGAAGAAAGGTTAAAAAATCTGTTTAGTTGGGAAAAATGACGCCAGAGAGGGGATATGATAACATTATACAAATATATTCAGGGCCAGTACAAACCTTTATCTGGAAATCTATTCATAAACAGGGCTATACATAGGACACGAGGTCACACATTTAGGCTGGAAAAAAGGAGATTTCATCTAAGGCAAAGAAAAGGTTTTTTTACAGTAAGAGCAATAAGGATATGGAATTCTCTGCCTGAAGAGGTAGTTTTGTCAGAGTCTATACAGATATTTAAACTGCAATTGGATAAATACTTGCAAAAACATAACATACAGGGATATAATTTCTAATTAGTGGGGTAATAGCTGCTTGATCCAAGGAGACATCTGACTGCTATTTTAGGGTCAAGAAGGAATTTTTTCCTAGTTTGTTGCAAAATTGGAAGCGCTTCAGACTAGGTTTTTTGCCTTCTTTTGGATCAACAGCAAAAACATATGTGAGGAAGGCTGAACTTGATGGACGCAAGTCTCTTTTCAGCTATGTAACTATGTAAGTTCGTTTTGTTTGCCAAGTAATAATGCCTTGGGTATCCTGGCTACCAATTAAGGGACACAAGCATGATAATTTAAAGTCACAGTTAACATAATGTTTCCTTTGTTGCATGAATAACAACATAATATATATATGGGATATTATGTTGTATATGCTATGTTATTGGGTGACTCTTTAGATAGATCTCCTGAACTTTTGATATTTTTCTTTTCAATAATTTGTTAAAGGAGCACTCCAAATCTGTAAAGCAGTTCAGTATCAAGGTTTGGAGCGGGAGGAACCCAAAATGCAGACTTATTCTGATAGCAAGGTACAGAAAAGGAAAATCTAAAGACGTGGTTAGACAGAATGCAAGGTCAGTCCAGGCAGTGTAGGTAAGGATAAAAAAAGGGGGAAGCACCACTCCCTATGCCACGCTTCCATCATTAGCATGACTGCCCCTTGTTTCTCCGCATCTTTCTCTATAAGGCACGGCATGCAAACTGTCTTGCAAGTCCAGGGATTTGCTCCTTCATGACCCAAACCTGAAGAGAGAGGCACTGGCTGTGAAGGGAGCTTTACACACACATCACGATTAGGGTAGTCATCCGAACCAACAGGGAGTCAAAGACACAAAAGACTCTGTTGGATGCCCACACACTGACAATGGAGTGGAGAGGATCATGGCAATAATGAGTGAAAGTGGTGTGCAGAAAGATGAGTATGTGACAGTAACCCCCCACCTTAAGGTGTCACCTCTGAAGACACCGAGGTGACACAGAGAAGACGCCATCCAAACCACAAGGGAGCCAAAGAGATCAAAGACTCCGCCAAACGTGAGCAGGATTGCGACGAGAGTTAGTTGGCTACGTAGGACTACAGTGCAGAAAGGTGAGTACCTGGCATTCAGCTTACTGAAGTGCCTTAACCGTTAAGAGCATGTCTTTTCTCTTATATTTTAGATTAATTTATTCAATATTTAATTAGCTTTTCCAAGTACCCAAAATATGTCAAAATAACACTCCAAGCACCATAAACTCTACAGCCTGTTGTAGAGGTAAGGTTCCCAGAAGTGCTATCACATCCTCCCAAGGTAAGCAGTCAAACCGTTTGCAAACAGTTAAACACCTTACCAGGGGTCATCAGGGCACTGAACGCTTCACCTTATGTTTGCCAGAGGTCCCAGCAGTGTAGGACTTAGCTCATTGGCTCTTTTTATGTGTATCTCATTTTTCACAAAATGTTGGAATTTAGTAACAGGAAATTAATAATTCATGTAAATATAATCCCATGCCTTCAACCATGCTGACATAAATGCTTATAAATATGTTTTTTTTTATCTCTTGTTGGATGAAGATATAAATGAATGCAATGCTGAAACTCAAAGTTGTGAACAGATCTGTGCTAACACTTTTGGATCCTATCGATGCAACTGTTGGCTGGGCTTCACACTTAAAGATGATGCAAAGACCTGTATGCCTTCTAGATGAAAACAGCAATATGATTAAAAGCTGTAATACAATATTTGAATTTTTTTTATATATTTATGTGTATTTAAACTATTGTTTATTAGTTTTTTGTTTTTGTTTGTTTGCATGGGAAAATTAAAAACAGTATTTTGTAATACATCAAGCAGTTGTTAATTAAAAAGGCTTATTTTTTTATAGTTTTAAATATTTCTTAAATTAAGCCCCACGCTACACCATTTATCATTGAGTCAAAGTACAATGTCATTTTCTATTGCCATTTTCTTATTTACGTTGTTCCCCAATAATGCTGGGGATTCTTATGATTTACATCTTTCCATTCTCCAACCAGTGGTCTTTAGAGGGCTATGTTAATAAGAGTCAGAATATGCCCATCTCTCAGACCCCTGAATTAGTTATCAAATCTAAGAGTAGTACATAGTGAGTATTGCAATATAAATGCACTTTCTGTCAAAAATTAACAGACAGACATTTTTGGGGTCAGAATCTAATCATATAATATCATTCTAAATGCAAGCATTGTGTCTGAAGTTATATATTAGTAAGTGTGAATATCACAAATTGTTGTCATTCTGGTGATATATTCCATGTACCACAGTCATTAATTTAGTTACTATTGGGTGCTTCTTGAAAGTTAATTTGGATTTCTATGCCTATTTTAAATATTTCAAGGGTTCTGATTTCATTTTTCGTGTAATATCAAATTCTACAAATGTTAAATTATTTTAAATAAATGATGAACTATTACCGGTCCACATAAGACACAACAATATATACATTTTGTAAAGGATTTCCCTGTATTCACCTGTGTTTATTCGGCTGTGTCCTCTCCTTGCTCTTTAACTACCTTTGAACGTTTTGTTTTAATTATGTGTTCGGGAAATGTATTCATTCTACCAAACGGAGACCACCCTGGGTAGCAATCAGAATTTGGAACACCGAGTAATTACACGAAAAACCGCAACTTAATTGAGTGCTTCTAGGTGGCTGCCATTTGGCATATGAACACGTGGCGAGAACAAAGGATGGCGGCCATCTTAAATCTCCCGAATGCGGCCAGCGGGACTTACTCGTGGATTGCCTGGAACGGTTTTCGGCATGGCAATCACACGAACGTCCGGTCATCATGGAAGTCCCGTCTGACCTATTTCCACTCATAGTATCAAACCGGCGTTCGGGAGTTTTAATCTCTCATGTAACCAGCCGCAACATATCTATGGTAGTTTTCATGTAATTCTGCGCGAACGGAGACCGGCTCTTGCTACTGATTTCATGGAACTCTAAATCGGATACCACCACATGGCAGACATATCTACTGGCCAAACCGGTGGAGGAGCTGCCAGCTCATTCTCAGTGACTAGTCAATAGAATAACATTGGCTGCACATTATAGAATAACATTGGTCTGATGAAAGTTAATGCTATGAAGTCATTTAAAAAGGTGTGGGCCCCATGTGAGTAGCTGTGGGTGTAGGGGAGGACTGGGGTCATGGCTACTGGATATGGGGAGGTTAGTGTTGGTTCTCAAAGTGGGACCTTGTTGTTTGCTTGGCCTACCTAATTCAGGCAACTCTCAATCATAAAGGCACTACAGATAAAATTGGTATTTTGTAGTAGGTGAAGGGAAGGGGTTAATGATTCTCATCTATAATTTCTGATATTATATTCTCTTTCTTAAGATTTACACAAGAGCTAAAAACTAGACAAACCACAGGTTATTTTTGATTTATCACTTCTGCTTTTGAATCAACAGACGCATCCGCAAACTAACATTGACTGTGGTCTTTTGCAAGATCAGCTATTTCCGCTTTTAGCAACATTTATCTTTTGTAAGCACATTATAACCAATGTATGTCAAAGTTCATAATCAATACTGTATAAATATGCCATCCTTTTTATAATACATTTGAAGATTATGGAAAGCAAAGAGTGTGTGTCTGGTTAATACGCTTCCATAAAAATCTTCCCTGAATATTCAGCTGACAATCGAGGGTTGGAGAATAGTGACCAGAGGGACCGAGTCACCAGAGTAGCAAATTTACCTTTCAGCTTGGTGTCAGAAGTGGGATTGTAGCCAAACCATTTTGGGTGAGTAGTAATTCCTTGTGTCTATTTGGACGCCCTGAATCTATGATCCCCATGGTTTTGTAAGTCTACATCATTTTAGGAAAGGTTATTTAGTATATGTGTTTTATGTGACTCAGTTTTACATAAGGTTCCGTTAAATTAGTCTAGTAAGGGAACTAGACAGAGAGATATATGTATTTCTAGTAAGTGAACTAGAGAAGGTCTAATAAGAGAATTAGACAGATAAAAGGAAGTTTATAAAGTGATATAGACAGAGAATTTAGTATATAAGTGAATATACTACGATAGTGTGCACAGAGTTTCAGGTTCACCTTGTCCACCCTCTAATTGTCATTAGTTAAGTCTGGTTGTGAGTGTGAATAAGTGTTTGAAAGATTTGTCCTAGGAATGGGAAATTACCATGCAAGAATATGAAGTAGTTAACTTTTCTTGTTCATATGTATTTTATGCTTAGATAAGGTTTATAATCATTAGTGCTGACTGTAAGGATATGAAATAGTTAAACTCTTTTTGCTTTATATGCTAACCCTGAAAATATACACACTGAGAATCTTGTTAAAGCACATTTGTAGTGTCCATGTCTTTATTGCAAACAATGATTCTCCATCAATTGGGTGATTGTCTATATTGGGGACACACTTTGGTAAGTTAGTAGTGTGTCCACCCTGAGTCAGCAGTATGGAAATGTAAGTTCTGGTCCTGAGTGACCAATATATATATACATATATATATATATATATATATATATATATATATATATATATAAGATAGCAGTACTGTATATTAGAAAAGAACCTGATAGACCTACTTAAATCTTTTGCTTTATTCTTTCTGTTGCATAGAAGTATAAGTTTATTACTCTGTTTTATTGTAAGTTATTTCACATGGGATCTGTGTGCCTGGTATGATTGTTACTTTAATACCATAAGCCCACTACACTTTCTATGAGAGTGGGATAGTGTAAATGTGTTGCATTGTTTGCATGATGAGCTCAGTATATTTTATAACTGAGACAAAAAGTCACTTCATTAGTATTTGAAAGTTAATTCCCCGTATGGGATTAATTGTATAGAACACCAATCAGCACATCTTCCATGCCCTGTGTGTTTGTTGCAGAGGATCCATACTGTAAATATGATTTTTGTTTGTAAATAAGAGAGCAACATTTACATTTTCAGCGGTCCAACACATGCTTCATTTTGTGCCATAAGCTAACCTTTTTATTGCTACAGATGCTTTAAATGATTCAGCTACTGCATATGTTTTGTGTCTTCTATGTCTCATATTATATGTGTTCTGTTCTTTTAAATTGTGGTATATAGCCTGGATCAGAGCTCATGGACAAAGGTTTTTACCTGTGTTACTAAGGGCTCTTGGAGACTGACCGGTCTATAAATTTTTTAAGTCTCTGAGAGTTCTGTAAGATTCTGGTGAAACCATGTCTGTTTAATCTGGTCCAAATGTTTGCTCAATTTCTATAAGATTTAAGTTGATGCAGTATCATCTCAGATTAGTTAATGGACATTTCAGACAAATATTTGAGTTATGAGCGCGCTATATAAATGGATCCTTTCTCTATATACAATACTATAGTAGATTAAAGTAATGAAGTTAATAAGAATTAAAAAAATGAAAAATAAAATAAAAAAATGTATACATAAGAATTCCTAAAATAAATCTAATACAAACTAAAATTGGTATACCTTACAATAATATGTTCTGAGTACAGCTGTTAACTGTTTATTCTGTGTAAATGGTGACTGTGATAATGTGTGAAGTGTGCAGCTTAACTGGAGAGTGGTTTAATTTATATGTTGCTGTGTTGTTTTAAATTATATTTGAATCAGTTTGTCTCAGTCTAGTGATACTGATAAAAATGCCAGTCAAATAACCCAGCAAATAACTGTTTTATTAGCTGTTGAATACTAGTGTTTTGGCCAAGAGTAGTTCTATGAGCTTAGAGAGGCTCTGTGTTGTGTTCTGATATAGCTATATAGGAATGGAGATTTGGAGGTGTTAGTTTAAGATTGCTTTCATATTGTGTCTACCCGTGTTTCCTAGGAGGGACACAGAGTGTGTAGTTGCGTGCCCATGAATGTGTTTTCTGTATTGGCATATCTGCTGGGTACCCGATACGTGTATCTACTATGTCTGTTTTGTGAGATGACATGTAATATTACATTGGATACTGAGTATGAGTTATATGGTTTGAAATGAATTGGTGTGTTATGTGTTTCATGTATTTTATTGTCCATAGTGTAGGAGTTTAACTAGCAGAGTGATTTGCATATCATTAACGCAAGCATTTAGTGTTTTTACAAAAGGTGAAATGCTGTCCAGCCGGCTAGAATGAAACAATTGTATGCTATCGCTGCTGGAGCAAGAAAAGCGCTTGTTACATCCCACGTGAAAGGGGCCCCGCAAACTTCTGCTGTTCAAATCGTGGATCCACGTTTCCATTTGCAAATTGATTAATCCTGAAAGTCATTCTTTTACTGATAAAAAGGATAAATGGACAAGATGTCTCTCCCTCATAAAGGAGTTCTAATAGGGGAGTATTGTCCAGCTCAGAGTTAACTCTACTTTTAAAGTATATTGCATTGTTTGTGTCAAAGTAAGATTCATCTAGAATGCCTCATTGATTATGGGGTAATAATAAAATGGTATTTTTAATAGAGATAAGAATTTCTGAAATTTATAAGTGAGGTAATTTTAATCTCCTAAACTACTGTATTATATTTGTATGGGTAAATTGAAAGCATTTTGCAGATCCAGAAGAGGCTTAATAAATAATATAATAATCTTACTAGGAGCCAAATTATGCAAAGAGGCTAACCAAAGTACGCACTAACGGGTTAAACTTGTTTTCTTGATAAGCGTATAACATTTAGTTTTGTGGTTAGATTTTTGATACTCAATTAGAAATATGTCCCAATTACATCCTTGCATGGCCCCAGGTACAGGAAGCAATATGTGTTTTAAAAATTTGCAAGGTCTTAGTGTTTTCAATATATTATAATAATGGAAAAGTACCTAACCGCATGTCTACATTATGCTCATGACACAGACTGTCAGTATTGCAATCCCTATATGAAGGCTATGCCTATATGTATATACCCCTAGACAGGCCCGGACTGGCCATCGGGCACACCGGGCAAATGCCCGGTGGGCCGCGATGGCCGTGGGGCCGAGGCCGGCAGGGAGATCACAGGATCTCCCGGCCGCCCCCTGCAGGGCCAGCGCTACCAGAGCGCCGGCCCCGCTGTGTGCCTCCATGGGCCGGTGGGGAGATCAAAGATCTCCCTCACCGGCCCACAGACAGGGAGATGCGGCCGCCGGCTGGGGAGGGAGGGAGGAGAGAGGACCCGGCGGAGCTCTAACCAGCAGCTCCGCCGGGTCCTCTCGCGGGATTCTGAGCGTTGCCGCGCTTACCGCGGCAACCCTCAGATCTCGCGAGAGTGAACTCTAACCTGCAGGTTAGAGTTCACTCTCACCACTGGACCACCAGGGAAGGATGACAGCATGGCTCCCCAGGCAGAACGGATCTCCTCCTCCCCCCCCCTCCCAGGATAAAAGTAAGAAGGGGGGGGGGAGGGGGGATATAATTTTTTATAAATAAAAAATACATTCACACA